CCCCGAGCATGTTTATTTTTGGCTGTTTGTGATTTCCAAAGCAATTTTACATTCGGTGGTTTACCATAGCTTTCTGAATGGTTGTCTGTTGATACACGGTCGAAACCAATATAAGGCAGTCAGCTTCAAATCACCTGTAGCTTGGATGGAACCTGGAATTACGAAGCGCGTTCGTAATGCCTAAGGCACAGACACAGACAGACATAATATTAAAACAAAGGTATCCATTATTTGATCCTATTATGAGAAATTACTGGAACCTGCTGGAAACATTTATAGATAGACCCTGCAATGTGGTAGTAATGTGTTTCAATCAGTCACAGTGAGGATGCTTTTGTTTTTTGGTTCAAAATTGGTCCAATGTGAAATTATTTTTTTTTTTTAAAGACCCTTTTCACGCCAGTGGCTCACTGGGCATATGATGCTAGACTAGTATTTAATAGACCACTCGACACTCAGTTGGTGATGAGGTGAAGCTCATGTTGGTGACCTTTATTTCCTGGGATACTACCTGGTACCCATTCTAAGCTGGATCAACCTTGGAGCCAAGGTCAATTTTGAAAAAAAAATTTTACTGTGGATTTTAATCCCAGACCTTGCAATCTGGCAGGCTAAAGCGCTTCCAGGAAATACTTTGGGAACTAGTGATAGCGAACATCACATAGAGATAGCCCACAATATGTAAAGATAGCCCACGTCACATGCCAGTTTGTCTCTAAAAACAATGACTGCAGCTTAACGAAAGAAGAAAAATAAGTTTAGCCATCATCCATCCACAGCCTTCTGCCAATTATTTCAGATACAGATGTTCCTTTATGACACGATGCTAAACTGTCCTCATTTTTGGTTTTCCCTGAGTCATAATGTACTCCAGTTTCCCCCTTCTCCTGACAGGCTAAAGAAAAAAGCAGTCTTTCTCTGATGTGGGTAAAAATTCCCTTTCTACGTTAATTTCTGTAAAGATATCTTTCTTACACTTTTTTATCTGTCTACAGGCTCGGCTCTCTAGCGTAGTTGGCTAAACCGGATTGCGCGGAGACCGGGTGACGAACTCCTTGTGGTCCGGGTTCAATCCAGGGGGTAGGCAGGAAAGCCACATTTTCTCCCAGATTTACGGTATTTAAAATGGAATCAAGGCCGAAAGGTTGCGATATCCATAATACCAAGCCTAAGGGTTAACAACTCATGGCTTCTGGATACTAAAACAAACAATCTGTCTATAGTGTTATCATCATGAAGTGTATGGTTAAGCACCAGCAGGAAAATCAAAGTCAAAATTTTTAGAGCATACATCTTCCCTGTAGCAACAAATGTAATGTGAGTTGTGGACTATCTTGCAGTCATTGAGGAAGAAAATTGGGGCTTTTGAGATGACATGCTATTGAAAGATTCTCAGAATACTATGGACAAAGAAGAAAAAAATACATCCTAAAAGATGTACATCAAGGAAGATTGGCTAAAAAACAGCATCTTGTCTCCAAAGATTAAATATTTTTGCCACGTCGAGCGCTATGACGGATTTAAAAAAAACAGCAGCAGAAAGCATGGTGCCAGGAAGAAGAGGCAGGTGCTGACCAGCGTGAAGATGGGCACAGGATATAAATGACTCCCTGGGTATGAAAGTGCATTAGGCGGGAGAGCTGGCGAGAGACCGAGTTTCTTTCTGACTGACTGTGATAAGAGCAACATTCTGCAAAGGACCTGCTACGTGATGATATCCTCGTAATTTTTCTATAAAACACATTTCTCCAGCTTCCTATGGAATCTCTTGCTGACCTCCGGACTGCCCACAATTAAACAAATTACTCTTTCAAATGAACTAGCCAACCTGTAAAGAAACAACAACAAAAAAAACAGCCAACCTGGGCCAGAAAATCAAACTTTTAAAACTAAAAACACAAAATTAAATCTCATATTCTCATAGCTTTATTCCTCACCGTGTACGTGCAGTACATTTGTACGCAGATGGGCAAGACACGGTATTTACCAAAGCAACTCTTTTGTACAGGTTGTATGTACATTACTGCAACAGTTTTTTTTAGCACCACAAAAAGGTAACGGAAATTTCAGTGCCACTGCAAAATATATTTTTTTAATGAATAAAAAATACTCGATTTTGTAGCTGGGGAATGTTCCTTTTCAGAATGTTTCTGAAAGAGCAATGCAATAACTCAAGGAGCCATTATTCAGATGAGAATCCAATAGGAGTACATCCTATAAACCCAGTTTAAATGTATAACAGTTATTCTGGGGCGCCAGACATTTGCAAGGTAACCCGCAGTCCAGTTTAGTACAGTGCTAGATGTAATTAAAAAAATCAACACATCTAAAATCTGGGAAAATCCTGATGCATTTTGTCCCTCCAAAAATTACAAAAAAATTTAAACTAGGAATTATAATCTGATTTAATTAATCAAGGAAACCTATGAAAATTAACTTTTGCAGCTTGGCTAATTTTGTTTTAGATAACTGGGATTTTAAATATAAATAATCATGGAAATGCCTCTGCAGCAGTAGAAACGGTGGATGCTGAACTGTAGAAGTCAAAGATTAAATTATTGAGCTGAGCAAGCAACTTTGGAAATCTCACAGCAAAAAAACTGTTTCAGGTGGTCATGTTTAAACTCCATTTGTGTGTGACTGTTTTATTGGGAGAATATGTGTGTGTGTGTGTTCTTGGTGTCAGAATATGTGTGTGCATGATTGTTTTTATGGGAGTATACATGTATCTGCTTATCATTTTTAATGGGAAGAATACATGTGTGTGAGGGATTATTATGGGAGAATACATGTGTGTGAGGGATTATTATGGGAGAATACATGTGTGTGAGGGATTATTATGGGAGAATACATGTGTGTGAGCGATTGTTATTATGGGAGAATACATGTGTGTGAGCGATTGTTATTATGGGAGAATACATGTGTGTGAGGGATTATTATGGGAGAATACATGTGTGTGAGGGATTATTATGGGAGAATACATGTGTGTGAGGGATTATTATGGGAGAATACATGTGTGTGATGGATTATTATGGGAGAATACATGTGTGTGAGCGATTGTTATTATGGGAGAATACATGTGTGTGAGGGATTATTATGGGAGAATACATGTGTGTGATGGATTATTATGGGAGAATACATGTGTGTGAGCGATTGTTATTATGGGAGAATACATGTGTGTGAGTGATTGTTATTATGGGAGAATACATGTATGTGATGGATTATTATGGGAGAATACATGTGTGTGAGCGATTGTTATTATGGGAGAATAAAAGTGTGCTTAACATTCTTATGGGAAGAAAATATGTGTGTATGTGCAGTTATTATTATAGGAGAATACATGTGTGTGAGCGATTGTTATTATGGGAGAATAAAAGTGTGCTTAATATTCTTATGGGAAGAAAATATGTGTGTATGTGCAGTTATTATTATAGGAGAATACATGTGTGTGAGCGATTGTTATTATGGGAGAATAAAAGTGTGCTTAACATTCTTATGGGAAGTATATATATGTGTGTGTGTGTGTGTGTGCAGTTATTATTATAGGAGAATACATGTGTGTTTTTTATGGAAAGAATATAAATGTGTGTGTGCAATTATAGGAAGAATACATGCATGTGTTTATAGTTTTTTATTGAAAAAATACAGGATGTGGTGTGTGCGATTTCTTTTTTGGGAGAAAAAATGTGTGTGTGTAGGGCTGTGTTTATACGTGTGTCTGATTAGTTTTTAAGGACAACATGTTAGTGGGTTGTTTTTTTAATGGGACAATATGTGTGTGTGTGATTGTTTTTATGGAACAATACATGTGTGGAACACTTGTATATGTGCAAGATTGCTAACAGTCAGTCTTTCGCACAATCTATTTATTCCCATAAAGTTCTTTACTTCCAAAGTTTTTTTTATTTTTTAAAGCGAGGAAGAGACTAACGCAAGATCTTTAGTGCAATAATTATCTTTCAGTGAGCTATTTAGCTCTTTGGTGTCTAGGATCGTATACAAAAAAAACATCTCTTAGGCCAACTTCTGACACACACAGTCCAGAATAGTGTAGACTGAACAACATTATTAAATGATATTTTTCATGGATTAAGACTGGTCAGTTATCTTAATTCATCACTGTTATTTAATCTGCAAAATGTTACGCAAACTTGACTTGCAAAATTTAAATTTAACAAAAATAATCTCAACTCGTGTTTAATTTAAACAAAACAACATCAATAGCACTTGGAATTTTATTTTATTTCAGAACAATTGAATGTTTTTAAGTTATAATTTGTATAGATTTGGTTTAAAAAATGGTATAAATACAATACACAACTTGTCATCTACGCTTGCTGCAGACACCTGGAGCTCAATTCCTTATAATGGTTTATGAAGAATACATGGAACAATCACATTTTATTGCCCACATGAAGGGGTTGCCGTTACTTGAAATAAATGGTCTTAAGGCAACTTGTGTCGGTTATAAATGCTTTACTTCTTTCAAACAGACTTCACATTTGTAAGCAGGTAAGCTGTTCTGTCACAGCCAACAAAATGTTAGAAAAAAAACACAAAGCAGCAATTCCATTGTGAAATCTTTAATAATCAGATCTTTCCCTGAGAAAATTTCCAGATATGTTGGGTCTATGAGATGTAGGACTTTATAAAAACCCAGGAAGAAATAGCCAATTCTTCACATACAGAACAGACTTCATGTTCGTATCTGTAAGCAGGTGACTGCTGTCACGCTCATGAAGTACGAAAAAATTAGCAGCCATTTTGTTTTCAATAAGCAGATCTTTCCACGGACAAATCTCAAGACAGAGTCAATGTGAGGTATAAACTTATCAAAATGCAGGAAGAAATAGCCGACTCGCCACATACAAAAACGGAACGTATTTCACGTAACATTCTGGCAAGCTTTCTTCGCAGATGTTCCAGGTGTCAGTGATGAATCCGACAGACATGTAGGGGATGTTATCAAGTGACTTTGTTTCTCTACATATGAACCAAACTCATTTTTTGTTATTCATGACAACAAAGCCGATCCCTGCTGCCACGGCCAGACCCAGCAAAATTAGAAGGATGATGCCTCCTCCGCCGACTCCTTTCCGTGCTTCAAGCTGCTTCTGTTGACACAGAAAATGGTGAATATGTAGTCATACAGAGGAAGAACGTTGATTAATGATCATGTACAGAAAAAAACATTTCAGAACAACTCACAAACTCGGGCCCATCGGGGTCTGCTCCACTTATTTACACACTATGTAACTTTTCATTCATGGTTGGTTGGGCTGGTCGACCTTGGTCAAGGTTAGATACAAGGGTGTGCCACTGTACTTTGGTATTCACACAGCGTTCTGTGATACGTGTTAATTCCTATTCTGGGAGTAGCGACCTCTGACACTGCGCACTCACTCTTAAGCAGTAGTAGTGTTTGTTGGTCTATATATGAGAGCCGTATAGGATTTTGCGTAGGAAATGAGTTTATTGCAGAGTGTAGCATTATGCGGGAAACCACAAAATGTTAAGAAGTATGAAACCATGGCAGGCATAATGCACTGTCTCGTAGGACTAAGGCTGAGTGTGTCAGGGAGAGGGCCAGTTATACATGTTATGCGGTCGTTAAAGGCGCTCACATACTCTAATTTAGAGCATGCGTTGTCGTTAGTAGGAGCTTCGTCTAAGCGGATATTTCTGCCATTTACACTTGAGCATCTCAAAGGTAAAGGCGGAGACTGAATGTCCAATCAAAGTGTTCTGGCTGGACTCCACCAATGATAAGTGTGTTGCGTAGTGTGTAAATGGGCGGGGCTGACCCTGATGGGGCCGAGCTGACCCCGATTGGGCTCGAGTTTGTGAGTTATACCAAATTTGTTTGCAAAAAACACACACACCTCTTCATTTTTTTTTTTTCAATTCTTCGTCCGATTGATGTAACTGTGCTGTGTCCGTTTACAGCATAGTTGCAATATTTGGGTCTCTCAACCTACACATCCGACTTCACCAGGCATCTGTTGCCCTTGTTAGCCTTTCCAGGTAGTTTCAGGCAAAGTTCCACTGTTGTCTCCTCGTCTTTGCAATTCAATCTACAGGTTGTGCTCTGTGATATACTCATCTAGGGCAACCGCATGCATTCTGGTAAGCCCTCAAGGAAAGTCAGGAGCAGAAAATGAGCATTCCCCATCATCCAAGGAGGCTCCCATAAATGCACTGCCAATACATGGTGCTCTGTCACTGAGCGCAGATGAATCACGGATAGTCGGCAAATCAGTGAAGAATTATGTGAATGCTGCAGAGATATGGTTTTAAGAAAACTGAGAATATGGTCTAGACCGCTTAAGGAAATTTCGGATATGGCAAATTTCTGTTGTGAAGAATAATTTGTTTATCCTTGGCAATTTTTTCTTGCTAGAATTCTTAACCATCATAAGAGAAATTTCTGAGAGGAAGAACAATTCTTGGGTCTTTGGGGAGTTCTTCTTATCAGGTCTGCACTGTAGCAAGGTCAAATAAAAAGTGAATTGAAGATGTATTTACAGAAAATGACACATGAAGCTAAACATATTAACTGCCGCAGAAGGAAACAATCTATGTATTTTTGGTCACACCAGGAGAAGGGGAAAGATGAAGCATGTCAGAACAATGGGAACGATGAAACATGTCAGAACAAGGGGAAAGATGAAGCATGTCAGAACAATGGAAATGAAGCATGTCAGAACAATGGGAAAGATGGAACATGTCAGAACAATGGGAAAGGTGGAAAACGAAGACCAAGAGAGAAGATGCAGGACAGTCTGGCATCAGGACGTGACTCATTTTCTGGTAAAAGTACATGAGACAGAAGGCTGTTGAATACATGACTGTCAACATTGTTCAAAACTGACTATAAAAAGAAGAAGAAAATAGAAACAGAACTTCTGATTGAAGAATTATATATTTTTAGGAGAGAACTCAAAAGCTAGTAACTCTTGAGTCCCAGCATATTGTATAGCATATGCCCATAATTCAAAAAAGACAAAGTCTGTGTGTAAATTTCCAAAGAGGCAGTATATGTTGTGCGACAGGTTGTAGCCAGATTTATTTAGCATGTTCTGACCCAAACAATATTAAAGTTGTAATAACACATATATTTTGGTCATATCAAGCACCACGACGGATTGGAAAAAATTATAGCAGAAGGCATGGTACCAGGAAGGAGGGGCAAAGGCCGACCGACACGAAGATGGGCACAGGATATTAGTGACTCCTTGAGCGTGAAAGTTCATGAGGCGGGAGAACTGGCAAGAGACCGAGTTTCTTACAGGCAGACTGTGATGAGAGCGACGTTCTGCAAAGGACCTGCTACATGATGATGATGAATAACACATATGTTCACTTATACACTATATAATGGCGAACTACACACGTGCATTGCTTGTGACAAAAGGAGTTGGTAATTTTGCTATCGCACATAGTTAATTCAATGTCCTTCTCATACAAGTATACCTCACAGATACAGAACCTTGCGGACCACCACAGTTAAGACAACCATATCCAGCATGGCTTTAATGTTTAATCACTGAGGTATCCGACCCCAAGGGTAGCTGTGGTATACCCTGATATAACTGCTGTTTCCTTTCCTGCGTGCGGTTAACAGGGTAACTAGGATTTGTTCCTGTTGGAATGACATCTGAAATTTGACTCTTTACTGGATATCAAACCTTCAGGTCAGTCACCTGCACAGGCAGATCGGTACTGATGACCATTCCTGCCCAGATGATGTGAACATCTATACATTTAGGACTTTTCTGTCAGGCAGAAGGGTGCTTGGGGGGTTCCGTGCAAAAGTAAATAGAAGTCAGTAAAACAACCAAAAAGAAAACTGCTGATAGAAGAGTCTGACGATCTCTTTGGCAAGCCTCTACACCCAAGGGTAGAAGAGTAAAGCAGTAAAGTAAGTACAACTAGGCCTAGGATATGACACATCTAGTTTCCGAACAGGGGTAGAAGCAGTCACAGTAACTTCTCACTGGCTTGAGAACTGCTGCATAAACATGTGACTGTAACAGACTCAGAAAGCATACTGAGGAAGGTGGAGAAAGACATGCACTGTTCAAACTGGTAAGCAGCACTTCAGAAGTCCCATGCAGTTATTTTCTCTAGGTTATACAGGTGCATTGAGAAATGAACAGGCAGACAGCCTGGCTGGTTCTGCACCACTTGGCGTTAAACTGCTGCATGACAAGCTAGATGCTGTCAGGGTCCTTTGGGGGGTCAGTGAACAGTAAAAAGGCACAAACACGTCAGGGAGAGAGCAGTGCAGCAGGGAGTAACCAGAGAATATGGCTAAACTCTACACTCCTGGGAAACGTGAGACAGACATCAAATCAGACCGCTACTGGTACCAGCGGAATCAGCACTGTGATTGCTGCTAAAGATGAGGACAGAAAGCATTTATCAATCTCCACTGTGATTGCTGCTAAAGATGAGACCAGAAAGCATTTATCAATCTCCACTGTGATTGCTGCTAAAGACGAGGACAGAAAGCATTTATCAATCTCCACTGTGATTGCTGCTAAAGATGAGGACAGAACACATTTATCAATCACCTGTGATTGCTGCTAAAGATGAGGATTGAACGCATTTATCAATCTCCACTGTGATTGCTGCTAAAGATGAGGATAGAACGCATTTTCAATCTTCACTGTGATTGCTGCTAAAGATGAGACCAGAAAGCATTTATCAATCTCCACTGTGATTGCTGCTAAAGACGAGGACAGAAAGCATTTATCAATCTCCACTGTGATTGCTGCTAAAGATGAGGACAGAACACATTTATCAATCTCCTGTGATTGCTGCTAAAGATGAGGATTGAACGCATTTATCAATCTCCACTGTGATTGCTGCTAAAGATGAGGATAGAACGCATTTTCAATCTTCACTGTGATTGCTGCTAAAGATGAGGATAGAACGCATTTTCAATCTTCACTGTGATTGCTGCTAAAGATGAGGACAGAAAGCATTTATCAATCTTCACTGTGATTGCTGCTAAAGATGAGGACAGAAAGCATTTATCAATCTCCACTGTGATTGCTGCTAAAGATGAGACCAGAAAGCATTTATCAATCTCCACTGTGATTGCTGCTAAAGACGAGGACAGAAAGCATTTATCAATCTCCACTGTGATTGCTGCTAAAGATGAGGACAGAACACATTTATCAATCTCCTGTGATTGCTGCTAAAGATGAGGATTGAACGCATTTATCAATCTCCACTGTGATTGCTGCTAAAGATGAGGTTAGAACGCATTTATCAATCGCCACTGTGATTGCTGCTAAAGATGAGGATAGAATGCATTATCAATGTCCACTGTGATTGCTGCTAAAGATGAGGATAGAACGCATTTTCAATCTTCACTGTGATTGCTGCTAAAGATGAGGATAGAAAACATTTATCAATCTCCACTGTGATTGCTGCTAAAGACGAGGACAGAAAGCATTTATCAATCTCCACTGTGATTGCTGCTAAAGATGAGGATAAAACACATTTATTGATCTCCAGAGTGCTGTAATGAAGGTTCTTGACTCAACCAAACTCAAGTAACAGCCTAGGAGACATTTTTGTTTAGCTGTAAATCATGCATTAAAAAAAAAGCTTCAAATCATTTACCAATATAAACTCCTCAGCTCCGTGCTGCACTTTTAAAGTGACTGTCTCTCCAGCCGTAATGAATATTTGCACGGCCTCGTTGTGAGTCACTGACTGAATTCTGTGCCCGTTTACCTGCAAACAAATAAGAAATCTTAAATTGAAATCTTCAAATTAGGTCAAATTTCCGCATCGGAAAAGAGAGTTTTAAATCTAATATTTCATTTTTTTTTCAGTGCGCATTGGGCATAGTTTAACATTTCTTGTTTTATCTTTCATATTTGAACAGCTGTAGATGTTTTCTGCCTAAAACGCATCTATCCATATAACAGTCAGCATTTGGGAATCAGGGAACACCTGCTGGCTGGGACACATGAAGAGAAAACCTACTAAAACTATAACTAGAATGTCACTTCCTTAAACCCACAGGGAACAAGAAACAGAGACAAAAACACATGGACATGAAAGTTGATGAGGCGGGAAAGTTGGCATGGAATCAAATGGATGTCTGGCATGTCGGGATGAGAGCAGTCTTCTTCTTCTTCTTCACGTTCACCGGATGTAAACTCCGTCAGGAAGTTCTGGCTGTTTGTCCACTTCTGGACTTTAGTCCTGTTTCAGAACTTGAGTGTTGCGTGTTCATCCGTTTCACAGGTCTGACTCATTTGCATACAGACTGTTGGTTCCTTGCCTCTCAGGCAAATGTACTCTGACTTCGAAGGAAGCTCTTACCACATATTTTAGGGCAGCCAGTGGGTCCATTCTTGTTTTCCCTCACAATGGGGCCCCGGAACCCACACAGGAAGACGAAAGCAGTATTCTGTTAGACCTGTTACAAGATGATGATGATGACATTTTGGAACTAACTGTCACCACCTGTCGGTATTTACCACTTTTGCAATATAGGCAGTGCGGTCTTTGAGCACAAGGGTTTAGAGCCACATGGCAGCTAGTCCTATCACCATGGATTGTGCAGATAAGGATTTTATTTTAGTCCCTGGCAGAAAAAATTAACAAGCTCACCAAGGATTCGAACCGGGGCTTCCTTGAGAGAGCTCAGCATTCTTAACGACTCAAGACTGCCGCTGCTCTACCCTCACCCTCTAAACACAACATATTTGCAGGCTTGTGTGAATAAGAGAAACCTCACCTCTATTATTTTATCTCCTTCCTTGAGCCGTCCATCTCTGAAGGCAGCACCAGCTTCCTTGAGCTTGGTTACAAATATGCCTGTGTCTTCCTTAAAATGAGGGATGTCTGTGCCTCCACGGATGTTGAAACCCAAGCCTGGAACAGACAGTTTCAAACAGCATCTAGATTTGTTTTTGTTTTAAAAACATCACTTGGATAGCCACAAAAGAAGAATATTTGAACAAAGAAGACACAAACACTGGATTGCACAATTTTGTATATATCTCTGTATCTCATCAGGTGCAGTATACCATGAAAATTGAATACAATAAAACAAATTTACGAACAAAGAAGTAGAAGGGAGAAAATACATTTTCATTGATAATTTCGCATCAAATATATATCGTTTCAAAAGGCATTTGGAGTTCAACTTTTGATATTTTATTCGCTAAGTCATCTGTTCCTATGTATGTGAGTAAACCGGCCATTTTGAATGATGTTTCCTGCTCTGTGTGTTCAATTAAACGTGCACTGACCATTTTATTTATTCAGAAATGTGGTTAAAAGCCTCAAATATAGCATCGTTGCCAGGTTTACACAGTTACTAAGTGTTTGAAAACAATATAGCTGCCGAGCAGTCTTCTCCATGAATGCCAAAATAATTTACAGTTTTACAAGCCTCAGATTAAATAAAACGTGTGTTTATCAGATTTACCCGAAGTTAGATGGAGAAAGATATGAAGTATACTTGTTTCAGTCATTGACAGGATAAACTTGATGAGGGAGAGCTCTGATATATACCTCATGCACAGAGTTTAATTTGACAAAGTCAGCTGGTACAAAGAGAATAAACATTATGAAAAAAGGTGATTTTCGGTGTCAGTTAGTTCTAGTGCTATTCCACTTGTTATTTAGAAACAAAGCTACACAATTATGGGAAAACTGAGCGTTATATCAACTTCGTTTTGTGTAAAGATACTGTTTTGGGAAGTCAATTCTTTTTACTAAATAATGGTGCTGTTATGATGTTCTAAAAGTTTCTCTGCAATGAGATCTAATGTACATATTGTGTTTGTATATAATGTATACATTACTAAGTTATTGATGTTCATTTGTGATTCATTTCAGCGAGTTTTCCTTGAGTGCCATTGTAGTGAGTGGAAAAATTATTATTTTACTAATTTGTCTAAACATGCCATCTGTTTATTTACTAATATTTAACTAACACAATTTATTTATTGCAGCAGTATTCTAATATTATTCCTCAACATTCCCTGGTCACTTTGATGTATAATATGTGTATGCTGCACGGCAGCTGAAATTACTATGGTATGTTTCAAGTGTTACACTTGTGAAATTTTCAAATGGCATTACCAGCCCTTGGGCCTGTGATGCTAAACCCCCCTGGGATTTGAAGAGGTAAAGAAATTTTTCTGAGCAGTGTGCATAAGCTCCCAGATACAGTGAGTATACTGACTAATGGTGAATGCCTTCCTCCAGAATACTGAGAACTTGGGGATGTGTCTGTAGGACGGTGGAGACATCCTGTATTGTATACAGACAAATATCAAATGAGCATAAATAGTTTTTGTCCAATATTATTGTTTATTTTTTGGAGCAACGCCAGGGCAGTGGCTAGACGGATGGCTTGTGTGTTTGAATATCCATGAAGTCACACTCGTGTCAAAACTGACCTTGGCTCTCTAGTCAGCCTAGCCAATAAACAGTGTACTGAGTTGTCTTGGGAAGTAAAGGCGACCAGCGTGATGCTAATCACATCACCCACCGAGTGCCCAATCAATAAAAAGTAAAGTAAAAAAAGTAAAGTTCCCTTTTCACGCCTTTCGGCGCATCGGGCAAATGTGCAGAGCGTCCTATATTTTTACAGACCATCAGCACTCTGTGGGTAATGTGGTCAGCATTACGCCGGCTGTCTTTACTTTCCCAGGACAGCCCATCCTGGTACCCATTTTAGGCTGGGTCGACCTGCGACGTCCCCATACCACGAGAGCAGTGGGTTTCGATCGCGGTATGCTGGCTTACGAGTCGGACTCGCAACGCCTTAGCCACGGACGCCGCGCCCAATCAATGGCGTATAAAAATTAGCATTGTGCCACCATTGACGTAAAAGTAAAACAGAGCCCTTTACTTACTTTTACTTTAATTTTTAAAGTTAACCATCATCATCGTGTGCCCTGCCAACTGGCGTAGGCGCTAATGTGTCTCCACAGATCACGATCCCTGGTTGACTGGAACAGCTCTCTTGATGATCTCCCTCCATGCCATAGTTTCAGTCCTTCCAGCATCATCTATTCTGGTCTGCCTCTACCCTTTTTCCCACTAATCTTTCCAGTTGTCACGATGTTCTCCAATGTCTCTCTTCTCATTATGTGACCAAAGAACAGTGTTTGTCTCTTTCTTATTGTTGTATATAGAAATCTACTTTCATTAGCCTTTTTCAAGCAATCATTGTTTCTAACAATGTTAGTTACTCTGGCCGTCCAAGGTATTCCGGCTCTCCTCCGAACATCTACCCCGGCATTATGGCGGTCGAACAAATATCCTTACGGGGCTCAGTCCTATGAAAAATATGTGATCTTCCAGCGACGAACGAATCGCGGCAAAACTAGGATTACCTGACAATTTAAAGAGATGCAACATTGCAGACAATAGTAGCAGACGATAATAGCCACTGTTGACACTTTCGAGCGTTTCTGCAGAGGATACTAGCAGACGATACTAGCGACCATTGACAATTTCGAGACACGCAACATTACTGACAATAACAGCCACATGGCGGGGAGACCACGTGCGCCAACGCAGATTAGCGTCGTTGTTATCCTCAAACTTTTCGGCATGCGCAAAACGCGGTTACACTTATCGCTGACAGTATCCCCCGCGCCGCTAAGCGTGGCGCGGATGGGGGGCTAAATAAACTAGGTGCCTGGGACTCACGAGCAAATTAACTGGAGGAAGTTGCAGGAGATGCGGCAGCTGCTGCTCGTGAGTCCCAGCCATCTAGTTTAGCCCCCATCAGCGCCGCTATGCGCGGCGCGGGAGCTACGGTCGGCGGTGAGGCATAATCACAGAAACAGGTCCACAATTAACATATCGCTGAGACCCTGTTAGAGCATTTGTTTCTTATACGGAGCCGATCCTAGTTTTGCCGCGATTCGTTCGTCGCCGGAAGTTTGCATATTTTTAATAGGACTGAGCCCCGTAAGGATATTTGACATTTGTTGCCGCCATAATGCGGGGGTAGAAGTTCGGAGGAGAGCCGGTATTTCTAACAACATTCATCTCAGAAACCACAGCTCTGTTGCTTCCAAATTTTTCTTTAATTTGTTCATTGACATTCCAAGATTCGCTGCCATACAGCAGAACAGATTCTATGTAACGTAAGTTAAACATGCTGTTTTTAATTAATGTTATTGTTACATATTTTCTCCCGCGACCTGACTGACAGTAAATAGTAACAAAAACTAAATGATGTCTTTACCTGTTTCTCCTCTGTGCAGTGTTATTTCTGTCACCGGCAGGCCTTCGGTCATATTTAAGATCGCTTGCGGCATGTTTGGGTTGGCTGACTCTTCTCCCAACCCTCAGTAACGAAAATCAACCCTGTACCCGGTCACAGCGACAGGGATTTGGAAAGAAAAAAGAATAAAAAAAGAGAGACCTTGCGACCCTTTGCTGTGGTCTCCTCTCCGTCACCAGGCTATTGGCCCAACTGCCAGGGTGAATAGACTGCAAGATCCTCCAGTTCAACTCGCCGGTTGCCGACCGGCGCTATGCATACACAATCCTGTTTGTAAAAATGTCTAAGAGAAAGTTACCGTTGGGACAACAACATTGTGATGGTAATTCCAAGATGTCTACAAAGAAAACACAGCAGAGTTGTTGCGGCGTGACATGACGTCAGGTGCTGAGAGGTGACGTTTCAAAACTGTGACTTTTTGTATAAGGGGGCAGACCTCGGAATGGCGCGAATTATTGAGAGTTATTTTAAAAGCTGCTGTGGAAGCAAAGGCGACAAATAATGAGTTGAATAATGTGTAGCATAGCAGACTGTAAAACTGTTGATAATTAGTAACGTAACTAGAAAATTTGCCCTTAATATTTATACATTGCACAGACTTGAGAACGTGCTCATGCATGCATGCGCACGCATGCACACGCACGCACACAAATGCATGCATGAATACAAACATAGTACTAGTACATAGTATAAAAACACACACACACATAGGAACATATGATTTAGCAAAAAAAATATCAAAAATCGAACTCCAAATGCTTAATGAAAACATATATATTTAATGCCAGGAATTGTCGATGAAAATGTTTTCCCCCTTCTACTTTTGTCTCCACCGCTGCCTTATATTTATTCATTGCTCCTAACTGCACCTGAGGCTCCTACCTATTGCTCCTAACTGCACATGAGGCTCCTACCTATTGCTCCTAATTGCACATGAGGCTCCTACCTATTGCTCCTAACTGCACCCGAGGCTCCTACCTATTGCTCCTAACTGCACATGAGGCTCCTACCTATTGCTCCTAACTGCACCTGAGGCTCCTACCTATTGCTCCTAACTGCACCCGAGGCTCCTACCTATTGCTCATAACTGCACCTGAGGCTCCTATCTGTTGCTCCTAACTGCACCCGAGGCTTCTACCTACTGCTCCTAACTGCACATGAGGCTCCTACCTACTGCTCCTAACTGCACATGAGGCTCCTACCTACTGCTCCTAACTGCACCCGAGGCTCCTACCTACTGCTCCTAACTGCACCCGAGGCTCCTACCTACTGCTCCTAACTGCACCCGAGGCTCCTACCTACTGCTCCTATCTGCACCCGAAGCTCCTACCTACTGCTCCTAACTGCACCTGAGGCTCCTATCTGTTGCTCCTAACTGCAACCGAGGCTCCTACCTATTGCTCCTAACTGCACCTGAGGCTCCTATCTGTTGCTCCTAACTGCACCCGAGGCTCCTACCTACTGCTCCTAACTGCACATGAGGCTCCTACCTACTGCTCCTAACTGCACATGAGGCTCCTACCTACTGCTCCTAACTGCACCCGAGGCTCCTACCTATTGCTCCTAACTGCACATGAGGCTCCTACCTACTGCTCCTAACTGCACCTGAGGCTCCTACCTACTGCTCCTAACTGCACATGAGGCTCCTACCTATTGCTCCTAACTGCACATGCGGCTCCTACCTATTGCTCCTAACTGCACATGCGGCTCCTACCTATTGCTCCTAACTGCACATGAGGCTCCTACCTATTGCTCCTAACTGCACCTGAGGCTCATACCTATTGCTCCAAACTACACTTAAAGCTCCTACCTATTGCTCCTAACTGCACCTGAGACTCTTACCTACTGCTCCTAACTGCACCTGAGACTCTTACCTACTGCTCCTAACTGCACCTGAGACTCTTACCTACTGCTCCTAACTGCACCTGAGACTCTTACCTACTGCTCCTAACTGCACCTGAGGCTCCTGCATATTGCTCCTAAATGCACCTGAGGCTCCTACCTACTGCTCCTAACTGCACCTGAGACTCTTACCTACTGCTCCTAACTGCACCTGAGACTCTTACCTACTGCTCCTAACTGCACCTGAGGCTCCTGCATATTGCTCCTAAATGCACCTGAGGCTCTGACTATGTTTCTTCCCACAGTGCAATGCTTGCCAGTTGGTCTGCTCGCTCATTTCTCTTTACGCCCGCATGACCAGGTGTGTAGATCCACGCGAGGGAGGTTAAGTGCGATTTTTGAATGCTTCCTACCCATTCAGAGCGCATACCGCCTGTTGCTATCTTCTGAAGCATATTCATGGAGTCTGATACAATTACTGCCTGTGTGGCGGTTTGCTCAGATACCCATGCAGTGGCTATTTCCATGGTCATGCTTGACGTGGTTGTCTGGTAAGCACCGCTGTCCTCCTGTATTGTTTTCCCAATTCTTTGCGCTGTGTATGCGCATGCTAAACACTTATCCATCTGTGTAGATGGCGATGAAAAAAAAATATATAGAGACACAAGGGACTCGCATGATTGTTAATGGTTATCAAATGTAACGTTAGTTTGCAATCGGACGTTAAAAAACTTGCCGAAAATAGCACAGCTGACCTAGAAATGACAGAAAAACATCTGGAAATTCTACGTTGTTACTTTACTTACTTTTAACTTTTTGGGAGGAGTTCTGGGACAGACAAACAGAAAGACATACAGATATATATAATGTGAACGAAATAATTATAACCTACCCACTCTGGACCACATGTGACTTCAGAATTATTTTGAGGTACCTAAATATGTGCTATATGGCTATGTGGTCGAACTGGATTTGTGGTTGTTTCTTCTTCTGCTTCTTCTTCTTCTGCTTCTTCTTCTTCTGCTTCTTCTTCTTCTTCTTCTTCTTCTTCTTCTTCTTCTTCTTCTTCTTCTTCTTCTTCTTCTTCTTCCGATGTCACATAATTACAATTTTCAGCTGTTGCCATATCTCTCGATTCTCATCCTTGATGAGGTAAATCTACATACTGCAATCCTTGAAGAGAAAAACTATCTATTCTTTCCTTGTCCTACCTATTCACAGGTTGAAGAACACTGCTTTACCGGATGTTTCAGAAGCAACCCCAGTATTTGTTTGGCTGTTGTTGTTTTTCCCCCTAGTTACGTTCAGTAGTCTGCCATCACTTATAGCTCTCGGTAATGTCTGTTGCCCAATTACCTGCAGCTAGAAGCGAACACAGGGTATTGGTTTCAGATCTCTTCCTTCAAGATGTTGCATTTTCGGAATATCTGGCTGCAAGCAATAAAGAGATTATGAATGGAGTTAAACATATGATTCATCCTTCGGTATAGATTAGTTATCTCCAGTCAGGGAGAAGGGCGGGGGGGGGGGGGGGGAGAGGGTTGCGAGAGGAAGTTGGGGGGTGTGCATCAAGCAATTTTGAAAATGAGTGCAGTTGTACTTGTAATAATCCAGATTTTCAGCTTCAACAGTCATGAAGACAAGACAGCCCTGCCAGCTTGATGTGGAGAGTTGAAAGTTGTGGTCTTGTCCAATATCAGACGAAAACTAGCAGTCATCAAGACAAAACCATGTCAACCATTGCAATGATGTTTGGACATTAAATTACAGTTGGTGATTGTTTCTTTTATTATTTGACTCTTGAATTCTGCTAGCGGAAAGAGGGAAAAGGACAACATGGAAGTAGGCAATTTGATGAAAAACAAATGTTGTTAGGACAATAAGTAGTTCCCCGCTAAACAGCAGAAACAGGAAAAGTAAAGAAAAGACAAGGGTTTGTTTGTGCAGGGGCCATAAAATATTTAATCAAAACCCTGGCTATGGATATGTGAATAATAGTATTACACAACTACAACAACTGACTACAACTACATATTACTACATAGACAAGACCTAGACAAACCACGTGCAAACTACAATTTCTATCTTTAATCAAGCAAATTACATTCAACATCTGTTTATGTTCGTTTTCTTAAAGTCGATAATGTGTGGCTTGGTAGTCATTTCTATACACAACTTTATGTCTCGTGAACATTAAATCAACTTTGACACAGATGATATTCTATGCATGATGTCAAATCGTCCAGTATCTGTTCTCGAAGTCTCTCTCTGCCGCTCCTCCCCTCCACTTTCTTACTGTCACGATGTACTTCAGTTTTCTTCTTCTCATCACATGACCAAAGAATTTAGATTGTCTTTTTCTGATGAGGGCAATCAGTTCTCTTCGTGAGTCAGTTTCTTTCAAGACATCTTTATTAAGATTTTTATCTTTTCAGGGTTTATTTTACGGAACACAGAACTAATGCTTTACAGATAGCACTACCCTAACAAGCGACACTGTACCCACTCAAATATGTGCTAAACACCTCATATAGCAAAGATGAAAATTCGCTTCTAGCGACTCTGCTAAGTCCCTCTTTGTGTGAGCACCACAGAATACTATAGTCTGGAATTCGTCATTAGGTCGCCCCTTAGGACAACACACGACCGTCTCCCATTCTTAGTGACTTGATGAATATGCTTTAAAAAATCCAAGGATTTATCAGGCAAGAATGGATTGCAACACCAACTACTTCACGAATAGCAGCCCTAACCGTCATCTTTGTGCCAGGTTACGCGGGTGTTCAAGGGAACGAGCGTGCAGACTATCTTGCTGACACTGCGGCTGCTATGGCTGGTCCAGCAGTGGACAGAAGTGATGTTGTTATCAATACCATGCGCTGCACTTACCGTATCGTGCACGCTAAAGGACATGATTCCGAATCCCTGTCTAGGGTGATGGACATGGGGATGCAGCCTGGAGCTGCAAGAAATGAATATTTCACTAAGGGGACAAGACGTTTTATTAAACAACACAGAACAGGCGTCATAGGTCGTTTTACACTTGTGGAGCTTTTGAGGAGGAGATCGGTGCTGTGATGATAATCCTTTCTAATCACTAATCACGACCGTCTCCAGTCCAGTTGCGTTTTTTTTTTTTTTTTTTTCTCACTCCTTAACTGATATCGCCATGGGCTATGATTCCTAATCCCC